AATAGACACCGACACCCACACCCACACCCTATTTGTGAAGTGGTTACTATATGAAAACAGCTTATGCAATTTGTGAAATACGATCATATATCATAACAGCTAGATGGGTAGCGACTGAGTATGCGCTTCTCGATTACGACATGAGCAGCTTCATTTTTGATAGAAATGAGATCGACCTGAGTAGTTTATATTGAAGTACATTGTGGCCACTGCTTACGGTGAGACCGATGAACCAACGACTGGTAGCCACCGTCACCGTTGCATCCCTAATTCTTAAAAGTATAACAAAATTCAATTATTTATCTTTCATCTAGCTTAAGAAAAAAATGTTTCGCTGATTATTTATTTTTCTAGCTTTTGACAATTCAGATATTATTGATGAAGTGATTCAATTTTTTCGATCCGATACTTTCTTTCATAATTATGAAGTCAAAGTGAAATAAATAAAGTTGTATTTATTAATAATGCATGAAGCTGATTCGAAATTGATTTATTTGACATTCTACATACCCGTATGTTTATTACGACATCTTGTGAAAATGTTAATTTTCACTTCTTTTTCTCATACTAAATAAGATTAATTAATTGTTTTCAGTATCAATAAAGTACTCAAGCACAATAAGAATTATCATTATTAACCATACCAGTATTTCCTATTCCAAGTGAAACAGATTTTTCACTTAATGGCATGTTTAATAGACTAATACATAATGAAGTTGGTTAGTGATTATAGAGTGTAATGATTGTATGATTGTTCAAGTTATTGATCTCGAAATAAACAACTCATCAAAAGTAAAAATGAACATATATATTGAAAACCTAGTGATGGCTATGTTGTGTTAGTCACCATTTTACATATAAAAGTTTATTAAACATTGGCTTGTTATAAATTAAAATACAAAAACACGAAGCTAATAAGAATTTATTTCTAAGAAAATTCAAATTTCTTGACGTACCTTTGTTTCTTATCAACAGACTATATCATCGAGTGCGTGAGCATCGTGGGTGTTTTATTTTCATCCATACTCACAGTCAAAGCGAAATCGTACCATTTTCTGAAAAAATCGATCATATCAAGATATCACATGCGCACAATGACCCATTCTTGACAAGTAAACTGTGACTTTTCGCTCAACAACAGATCACAAAATGAGACTAAAACTTGAATCGTAAGCTTAACTCATGAAAGTCTACCAGTCTTCTCAATTTCATCGATTACTGACAGCTTTTGAAAATCGGTGTTGTCCTTTTATATCGAATATATGAAAACTTTCGGTAGATATACTGATGAAAAAGAATATATTTCTTCTTTGTATATTATTAACAAATAAAAATCCTCTTATCTATGTATCTCTCGTTCTTAGGAACTTTATATGAATCAACCATAATAACCTACTTATTGAAAACAATAAAATGTATGCTAATAAAAAATAAAGCTGTAAAAGTCAGATCTCTTTTTTATTGTTGTTGCTGCTGTATTTTGAATAACTTTATCACGTACACAAGTATTGATGATAGTAAAAATGCGATTGCTCCCGCTAGACAAGCAATACTACCTACGAGATCATACTGGTCACCACCTAAGAAAAATCCTCCACCTGTTAGAAATCCAAAAGAACCAAACAATGATAGGATGTTTAATAATTTCATTGTTGTAAATCTCGTCGATTTCATTTGTAATTTAATTAGAAGCCATATAGTACTCACAGCTCCTAGACTTGTACCACAACGAAAGATCCAGTTTCCAACAAGTTCGCCATATGCACCGAATGCTGGCCAGAACGCGATTGAAGCAATCGTTAATAAGAGACCACTAACACTTCCGAGTGTATTTCGACAGAGTGACACTGCTAAATCTATGTCAAGTAGCTTAGTTTCCGTATGAGGTGAGCCAGTATTGTTAGAAGAAATACTTTGAAATGTGGCTGTTAGTTGTTGAAGTGAACCAAGACAGATTAGAGCCGAACCAAAAAAATAAGTCAATGCAGATGCTTTAGAAAACGAATCGATGTTAGAAAAGTAAGGATGAAGAAAGATTGAGCCCAAGATAAAGAAGCATGAACTAATAATAAAAAATAAGGCATTCACATGATACTTCCAGTTCATTTGATATATATGCATTATATTTTATACAAATCAGGAGTGCATGATGCCAAAAAACATTACACTAATCTGTGTTGTCGTTTTTCTTTTCTTTACCTATATCATGAGTGAAATAACATTAATATGGGAGAACGAAAAATTTATCACCAAAAATATCTACGAAAAAAGAACAACATATACTTTAGTGCCTGATGTGTGTCGTGCAAACCATGCTATGATCCAAGGGGGAAAAGGCGATTTGCGATTTTGTGATTTAAAACGATTTGAAATGATTTGGAATGATTTATGGTGATTTGAAATAATTTATGGTGATTTGGAATGATTTATAGTGATTTTAAATGATTTATTATGATTTTCGTGATTTGACGTGATTTTCATGATTTAAATGATTTTGTTTCATTGAACATAGTTGTAAATATTTATCTCATAAATGAATCCCTAGGGTTATTTTCAATTGCTATCTCCTATGGAAACAATAGTGGAAATTTACAATGTTTTTGTTTAGATACTTCAGATCATTAATGAAGTCATTGTTGAAATATCGGCTCAATACACAGCAAAAGTCAAAGATTTGCATAGATAAATTCATATTGAAATAGCATAGTACATGAATAATACTTTTTAATTCTCTTTTCTGCACATTCACTCAATCAGATACCATTACTATCACTGAAAGACTGACTACATGTTATGTTAGTTCATTATGTGAAATATAGAAACAAAAAAAATGTTATTTGTTTCTGTGATAACAGAAATATAATGTATATGATAGAGAAATATAGAAAAACTCATTGTTTTTCTTTGACCCTATTTATCCGATCAGAAGACAAAACAGGTTTAGATTTTGAGAAATACCAATTTGCGGTCTGTTTGTGCATATATTTCTTCTGCCCATTGATCTCGATGAGAAAGAAAGATTCTGATTGACAACTGCCGATGGAATCATAGGTGCGCATGCCATCGATCGTGGAACTAGATACACCAGGAAGAACATGAAGATCAAAGTCATCATTTAGTATTGATTCATCATATTCATTCATGTCGTCATTTTTCATAGACCGTTTATTATGTTGATGTTGTTCATGATTTTCATCTTCTTCTTGCTCATTATTATTCGATTCAGCATCTTTCTTGTTACAACTTTTACACTTTGATCTTGCTAGCTTCTTGTATGCTAAACTATTCACTTCTTCGAATGAAATAATGTTATCATTGGGACTGAGAATAGAAAAACTACAACCAGATGGGTGGTGGTGGGGGTGGGTGTGGGTGTGGGTGTGGGTGTGAGTGTGGGTGTGGGTGTGTTCTTCTCTTCTACTCTCATAGCCACACCCACACCCACACCCGGAAACTAATATAACTCATCGAATTAAGGTTATGGATTGGCAGTTAGATTTCCTTGCATTCTATCAAACAAGAATCGAAAATAGCTCATTTAGTCTCTAAAGTTTTTCTGATTCCTCATTCAATATTTTTAACATATCTTACTGAAAGAGTATGTAAGAGTGCAATGCTCGCTTTTTTGGAAGCGAAAACGAATCACTATTCGATATTCTCAAAAACTCTGCAATAGTAAAAGAAATCTTAAACTTGTGAAGGTTCGAAGTATTGAATCATTATGACTGTCTTCCTCCAGCAAGAGGCTTCGATAGACGTTGTACTGTTACATTCTCTTGAAATCAAAAGAGGTTGAACATGGAGAATGGACTTCCAAAAAGACGTTTGGAAGACTAAATGAACTATTTTCAATTCTTGTTTTACACGTATCTTACGAATTTTCTTTCGTTAGATTCTGAAATATATCTTGAAAATACTATGTGATTTGGATTTATTGGATCTCACACCAAGCTTAAGGAGGAATGAACTCAACACTGAATCTACAAAGTTTTCAGCTATTCATAGTTTACGTAAAGTGAAAACCGCTTGAGGATTCATATATAATATCCACCATTTGATTAGCTTTTCATGACCAATATTTGAAAGTCATAAACATTATCATTTGTATTTTCTAGAAGATTTATGAAAGCACGTAGGAAGTTTTCATAGACTGTACAAGCTGCAGTATATTCAAGTAAAACCGTTCATTTAGTGCCATATCACAATCGTGAGTTCATTTCATGAATACCCCAACAGCTGCATCATAATTCTCGATGCCCGAGTTATGGTTATGATGACTTTTCTATAAGCAGCTATCTACGTGAATGACTGTCATTGATCATTTTAATTGATTAATCACAGATGCATACGACAATGAATAAGAAATAGAGGAAGATATATAAGACAATCCTTATAAAACTATACTGCGAAGCATGCTGTACTCATTTCACTGATAAAATAATCATCTCCAATAAACAGCGATATTGCAGGAATCTATAGTACCAAAAATTGTTCAGAAGCATTATACTCTGAATCAGTTTTGAAGAAATTGTTGCTTGTTGTTTTAGCTGCCTCATACAATCGACCTAATCTTAGCCTTTATGCATCTTGGAACGACGATGCAAGTACATTTGCTGATCAGACTTTCATTGGACAAAAACCTACTGGTCTTTTCGTCAACGATCAAGACGTTGTCTATGCTGCTAATCGTGAAAATGGTCAGATTTTATTATGGAACAATACATTGTCGACTCCAACAAGAATTATTTCGACAAACTCGACTAGTCCATGGAGTCTTTTTGTCACAATCGATGGTGATATTTATGCTGACCATGGTAGTAACAATGGTCATGTCAATAAATGGACATTCAACGCAACACAGAGTGAGATTGTAATGAATGTCCATGGCTGGTGTACAGGACTTTTCATTGACAACAATAACCATTTGTATTGTTCTTCGATGACAAACCATCGTGTTGTTACAACGGCACTTAACAATGGGCAAAGCGCACCAGTGGTAGTGGCTGGCACGGGATGCCCAGGTCCTGTACCGAATATGCTTGATCATCCACATGGAATTTTCGTGGATGATCAATTCAATTTATATGTAGCTGATACAGACAATAATAGAATTGAACTTTTTGCACCAGGTCAAAAAAATGCGATCACACTGGCCGGTTTTGGAGCAATGGTCTACTTTATACTCAATAGACCAACAAGTATTGTACTCGATGGCGATGGTTATCTGTTTATTGTAGAAAGTCAAAATCATCGAATCATCCGATCAGTACCAAATGGATTCAAATGTTTGGTTGGATGCTCTGGTAGCAGTGGAAAAACATCAAAACAATTGGACTACCCACAAACAATGGCTTTTGGACACTACTGGAAACATATTTGTGAACGATTTCAACAATCATAGAATTCAAAAATTCCAGCGTATTAGAAACTCACGTGGTATGTTTTATTTTATTGTGAATGAACAGTGAGAAAATTCTTACACGGAATATTGCTGTCACAGTCATAGATAAGAAAATTCCATGAATTGATTGAGCCCAAGATCAACTTCGATCAATTTTCGACAGATCCAATAGCTAGATCATCATGAGTTTCCTATGTCACTCGACTATATAAATCCACATCAAACAATAAGATGATAAGATCTTAAAATTCCATATCTTCTTATCTTGTTCGACATTATCAAGTCCGATGGAAAACGTTATTTCTGAACTCATCAACCTTAATCGTATTGTAAGATTGTTGAAATGATGTTACTATCTCGTAAGATATCCCTATAATTGTCAACACAATTAGTATTAATGTCAGGTATGTTCAGAGGGTTTTTGTATGTGTCACTGCTATAGCTCGTGAGAATCTTAGAAAGGATATTGCTATGCATACTGCTCGATGGTAATCTTTAATGATTTAACTAATCATATTCATACCCACAAAGTCAACAACACACTACACTGACACATCGACAGCATCATATTTATATCCCGCTTCAACACATCCATACGCATATACTTAGAGCATACCAAAACGTTTTTTTGTATACAGTCTGATAGAGAAAAAGATGAGTAGTTTTTGAATAACTTTTAATAATGATTGAAGATCGACAAGATCGGAAGACTGAAGTGAATGTTATGCATTCTAGTCGAACCTCTAATATCACTTTGTAGCAAAATCTGTAAACATTTTTCTCAAAAAATAAGTATTTTTTGTCGACTATTAGAAAATTGAAAGAAAATACTTCAAAAATCAATATTACAAAACCTACGATATACAATTCGATCCATCTTTATTTTCTCATTCTAATGATGAACACAATACGTCTCTGTTTTATTTTTATCAACAATTGTTCAAAAAAAATACTTATTAACTGTCACACATGTGAACAAAACAGATCTTATCGAAATTTTGTTATTATAATATTAGATAGACTATGATCCAATATCTTAGAAAGATAGAGCGTCTTTTTCTCTATCAGACTCTACAAAAACAAAGTTTCTTTAAGTCTATTTCATGCGATATTAAAGTGTCACTTTCACTACTTTTCGTATGCTGTAACTATTTTCCCTATAGCTGGTATATGTATGCAACTCAAAAATGTTAGAAGATAATAGAAATTTTTTCATAGGCGAAGAAAAAGAGAGAATCAAGTAGATTATGGTGAAAACGACGAAAATAACTATCGTTATCTTATTTATTTATCACAGCTCCAAATTATAATAATTCGTTACTAAAATCAATTGATTTTTCTTATTTGAAGGTCTTTCACATTTGCAGATCTATCCTCGTTAGATAGAGATTTTCGGAACAAGCAATAAAAAGCATTACATCAGAATTCTAAAAGAATATTTTCTGAATTTTTAAGATTTCCGATTTTCCCTTAGCTTATTACTATTTAGTCACTAAGATGGTGTGGGTGTGGGTGCAGAAAAGAAAATTATTCAACCCGAATTCACACCCACATCCACACCCATACCAGTAATATTATCAGCATTAGAAGTTCAAGTTCCCTTTCAGAATATATCAAACATCTATTATATTTTCATCTTTACAGGATTTATATGTCAAAAATATATATTTATGGTCTCTGAATAACTTGCCTTATCTATTGCACTCTTTATAGACAAGTATTTGAGAAAACATCTACTTAGAATGAAGAATGGTTAAAATGCGATATCAATCAAAGCTTGAATTCTTAAACCTAACTAACACTTGAACTTTGTACAGTCACAATGTTAAGATGATATGAAAATATTCAAGGTGCAGACCTACTTAGAACTTCTGCTTATAATCGTTATGTAGATAGGTAGCTAAGTGAGGAGCGTTCACGTTCGAAGTTTTAGATGGTGAGAAATAAAATAGGACAAAAGTTAAAATGTACGAAATAATAGTTTACAGTACTTTGACGGGATTCACTCTAATGCCTCAAAGACAGTGTATGAGATACAACGAGCAAGATATCGAGATGAGTTCAGGAAGTTCTAGAAATTCTTATTAATCCTATTGAAATTGTAAACTTATTCGTGAGACTATTTCTCATGTGCTTGCTCCTTCTATAAAATTAAACGAACTAACAAATCTGATTGCATGAGCTGTAAAATAAATGTCTTCCGATATTTGAAAAAGAATTAGTAAAGCGATAAATGAAAATGATAGATATGAAAAACTTATATATTTTGAAATACACTACTAAACTCATTTAAAAAGTACTCTTGAAGTTCTGAACATGGATGTGAATACAGATGAAAAGATCCACACTTATATTCGAACTAAAAGGTTTTAAAGTGAAATTTTTTTATTGTGGCCTAAGAAAAAAATGACCAACTCGCACATTTTTAATAGAAATTTAGTACACTTTTCCAAATCATTCAGAGTTGACCTGTACGCGTTAAACATCGAATATCTCATTTCTTGGTAAAAATTTATAAAGAGGTGGAACATTTTTGACATATCTTGTGGTGAGATCGATATTTCTTATGAAATTCTAACGACTGAAAGGAACTAGATGAATATTAAAATGCTAGAAAATATATGATACTATTGGTTTTTTCGTCATCATAGCATCGGATAATAAATATCGTTGCATTTTTTAAGTATCGTCTTGATTTTAACTATCAAGGTGTCAGTTATATTCAATTATCATGCTACTAAAACTGTTACTTCCACTGAGCTTACTTGTAGTAAAATGAGAGTTTTTCAAACACGATAACATATATAACGAAAATGTTAGTTTATGCGTAATAACAAAATTGTTTACTTTGGAATGTGTGCGATGTAACATTTTTTCCTCAATAATTATCAATTTGATGGATTACAGCTTTCGTAGTATACTTTTTGAATTAACTTGGAATTTTTTTCCACATATTGTGCATCTGAATTCAACATGAAACACATCATTGCAGAGACATTTATGAGTCAATAAAGATAAAATTCCTCTTATAAACGCATATGAAATCTTACAATATAAGATTCTTTGCTTATAAATGGATATAATGATTTGAAGAAAGACTTTTGATGAAGCTTATTGAAAATCGATGCAGAACAATATAGTTTTAAAAACAGACAATGAAAATAAAGGATTGTACGTTTCAATGATACAAGCCATCTATCTTTCTTCGATGAATCAATTTCTAAAATGTCATCGATTGTTTTTATTTTAACTAAAGCAGAAGTATACGCATGAGTCAAAGATAATCTAATTCAATTATAAAATCGCAAATCTCTAGAAAAAAACTAACTTGTTATGCATAAGATTATTTTAATGTAGGTAAACGATTAAAATACGTATAAAAACAACTAACAAGAAAGGTACTTTTACGAAAATTTTCTTCATATTTCACAATTTATCATTGTACTAATATTAAACATGAAAATTTCATTATTGTATAATTATGATGAAGATCTTCTATAAGAGTATGCTAGAATGTATGCATAAGATTTCAACTCTATAGTAATACATCATTTCATTTTCAATTGTTTACTTAGTTTTTTCTCTTGAAGACAAGATGATACTAAGTTTTCACAAGAGATAAAAAAAAAAACTAAAATAGAGAGATACTATTCATAGGAATTTTTCATAGAAGAACTTTAGTGACAGCACAGAAAGTGAACAGGAATACGTAAAGAATACTTAGTATTTCTAAAAAAATAAATAGACAAGAACTTTTATATTTAAAAGAAAAACCAATTTTTGTGACAGTATCATCGCAAAATTAGCTATTTGACTATCTTAGATTTAAAAGAAGTTCCTTTTTTTCTTCGAATAATAAGCCTATATATTGATATTCTATTTCTAAAGCTCGAGTGCTCAATAAAAATCCTTAGTTCAGTCTTCAGACTACAGTGCAAACTCTGTTGTGGATACATTTTGTTGATGAGTAATCTTAGTGAAAGATTGATTGCTGATTTATGAGTTAGAAAAGATATCACTTGAAATCTTGTATTGGCTTTTCATCTGTGAACACATCATTATAGAAATGATTCGTGCCTAAGATGCTAGCAAAATTAGAGAAATACATTTGCATTATATTAATAGTTGACATCTAGTAATGCTCATTCATGCAGACAATAGTGAGTTTAGCCGTTTCGAGAATCGACAACTATCACTCGTCTCTCCTCTCATTACACCACAAATAAAAGTAATAATAATCATATTTTTAAATATACGTCTCTGTTGAATTCTTCTATTCAAAAAAAGTGGTTCGATGAATGTCCAATAATCATTAGACGAGTAAACTATTGATGAAAGTTTAATGAAAAATTATTTATAAGACATTCTGTTCGTAGTGATCCTATCATGTTTTCGATAGTCTTTAACTTTGATTTTTTGAAAAACTTCATATTATTTTAAACATGATCATAACACAACGTATTTTGTTCGTATTAGTGTTGATGATGTAAGTTTTAATTCCGACTTTATTATACACTGAAATATGTCGAATACTATACTAGCAATAGTATCTCAATATTGAGATAAGATGTAGCTAGTATGGTTTAAAAGAGAACGAAAAAGGATCGATCTCTCTATATGATCACTATTCAGTTCGACCGCGTTTAAGCTTGCGTCAATCTGTATATTCATAGAGCTGTTTTAAATCAATTGAACAGATATTAATCTTACTTTTTTTTCTTTTTCTTTATTAGTTAAAAGAACTTGTTTGCTTCACTGCTTTATACAACTTAGAAATAACTTTTATTTATTACAGTAGATACATGTTTCATTACGGATTCGATTCGGAGGACAATCCCGTAGAATAATCGACAAGATTTGTTCACATGAAAACTTTGAAAACACTTGAAATAATGAATAATATGATCAACCTTCATACCTAATTTTTCCATTAAAACGATTTCTATTCGTTTCATTATTCAAAGTACTAATCATAGAAGAAAATCCTTTTTAAACCTAAT